CAACAATTAATAGAAGAAAAAAAGTATCTCAGCAAAGGATCCTTTCCATGAATCTTAGATGCTTTTCCTTGGGAGGGGATGCAGACCCTCTCTATACTGACTCTTTCAATGTAGACTAGATACTTAAATTTCAAAAGGCGAAAGTTAGTGCAGACAAACTCCAGCTTTTATGATTTATTTTTCATTTCCTCAGGTCCAACAATTTGAATTCCTTTACTCAGTTTAAGTATTTAATTTGCACCCTTTTGTTCTGGCCTATTCCCATCCCTGCTTCCGTATGACTTCTGTTATGTATCTACTAGCATCTGTTTTGGTGATGAGTAAATTTAAAAAGGCAGTGACTATTCCAACTCTCTGCACAACCTCTTGTGTGTTTCACTTTTGTGGTACATGACACATGCTTTCATTCTTTGTAGCACATTTATAGGATTTCTTTCTCTTGCATTGTATGTTCCCAGCCACATATAACTCATTCTGGGCCAGGACCTTTCTGATTTCATCCGTGCATGCTTTGGTCTCATTCTACTATTCCTCATCATGTTCCTTTGCTTCAACTTTTTAAGCAATTCTTTCCTCATTTTTAAGGTGTTAATGAGTTCCTTGCTCACCTTTAGTGGTATTACATTTCTTCCATTCTTCTCCTTGCCTTAGGACGTCTTGTAGCTCTGCTCTAGTCTAACAGCTAGTGCTTGTTGACCTGATTCTTCTTTCTTTGACCTAACCTAGCAATTCCCTAATGTTTCACAGTCAATTAATCCTTATTCTGCTGTTTCTACTTTTTCTTTTCTGTTTGTCTGGGAAGCTAATTAACTCATAGTTTAGTATATGTCCTAAGGTTTTAAATTTTTGCTGTTTAGCCCTTATAATCCTGGCATTTGTGCAGAGACACTTCATATGATTACCAGGCAGTTCCGTTATTCTCCCAAGTCTCTCTTCTTCACCACTACTAAATTTCCCATTTTCTCAGCTCTCTGACCAGCACGCTGCCTGGTTCTTGGAAGACCATCCTGTTGTCAAAGAATCCAAAGCTTTTGTCTGCACTGTGCACTCACCTCAAAGACTTGCCTACACCATCTGTGCCATCTTCAGACCAAAGGAAATACAATTGCCCCAGAAAGGAGTTGGCAATGATCACAGCTATGGACAGTATTCTTCTGCTTCAGTGATAGTAGATATACGGTGGAAGCTCTTTGGGGTAAGGATGGTGTTTGAATGACCATGTTCACAAGTAACATCAGGAAGTAATTGCTTCCCATCTGCCTTCTCAGAGGATTTCAGATCGTCATAAATTCTGGTGATTTAAGCCTCATCGTGATCCCTTTCACCAGTAACCAATATTAATAACTGCATTTCATAGATGAGGAAACAGGCATAGAAAGGCTAAATAACTTTTCATGGAATTTTTTTGGCAAAGCCAAGAAACTATCGCAGATCTGTATTTGAACTGCCAGGGCGCATGCTGAAGGCAATTCATGTAAAGACTTCAGTCAGGCATTTAGAAATGAGGAGGCGAGAAAGGGGGGTTGTGACTGCAATTACATCGGCTGGTGAGGACTCAGTAGGACCCAGCCCTTGGTGCCCAGAACTCAGCCAGCCAAAGGCAATGGTTGTTCACTGGGACTGGAGTTATTGCCAGGGTATCCAATGCATGGTTGTTTTTTAGTGGTAGATTTGTCTTCCTCTCTTGCTAGTCCCTGCATGAGCTTATGACACCAGTAGCTGTTTCACCGAATTACTGGAGATCTTGACAGACTAGCAGGACACTCCTTTCTGCTTCCTCCTTCCTCTTTCACTGCCTCCTGTTCACCTCCTTCATTTCTCTCCCTTCACAAACTGCTGCTTCGACAATAATATGCCATGGATCTTCCAGAACCTGTCTAAGAATGTGAGTCCCTAGAAAGGAAACCTAAGGCCAGCAATGATACAGGCTTAACCATCATGAAAAGCGCTCACAAAATACAGCACTGAACACACAATACGGCGCTAAGGATACAGACTTGGTTGCCCTTTATGGAGTGGGGAATACAGCGGCAGATTTATTCTACAGTAGAGAGGGTTGTTTCTTGATAGTGTTAATACTGATACGCTATCCAGGAACGGAAAAGCAAACACAAAAAGAAACAATTCTCCCATTTCTCTGCCTGTGTCTCCTCCAAGTGCCCCCTACTCCTATTCCTCTCTGTTCTCTTCATCCTTCTCCCCACAGTATACCTGCTTTCCTCCCTTCCGATTTATTCCCCCCCCCCCCCCCCCTTCTCTT